GACTTGTTCCATCAGAAACCAAGATCAAGAACTAGCACTGGGAGATAAAAGCTATATATAAAAAATTTTGCACAAATTTATCAAAGTTTTCTGGTAAGTAAATAGTTTGTTGGTAGAGGTAATGAGCTCACTGTCCTGGCCGTTATCTGAGCTTAACCAGTAGTTAGAGGTGCCAGAGAAAAGATTTATTCATCCAACAGGTAAGCAAAATAAATATCTTCTAGTACAAATTCAAATTCTAATTTCAGATATCTTCTAATTCTTGAATCCATAATAAATGTATCAAGTTTTACATTTACCCTACAAAAGAACACAAATCACCATGAAGTGTAGGCAGAGAAGAAAGTCTATTCACTTTGGTCTCCCAATTGAAGTTGACATACTGGAGACCGAATGCCAAACTGCATGCAAGGGGCTGTGGAAAGGGGGGCCGAATCTATGGACCGTGAATGTGGTGGTACTGAGGCATAAGATGCAAGAAGGGGAGCTGGGGTAGATGAGGCTGGTGTAGGAGGAAGATGGCAGATTACAGAGGGGCTTAGTCTGCAAGACTAAAGACTTTTAATTTTCTCTTATAGACCATGGCAACCAATGAGATGTTTCCCTAGGGGGGGGCCACCCGATTAGACCTGTGCCCCTGGGTGACAATGATCAGGACAGATTAAAAGACAGTGGGACCAGTTAAGGGACTACACAGTCAGGCAATGTGACTGAGCCTGAGCTAGGGGACAGATGGGACAGACCCTTAAGGAGTGCAATCCATGGTACTTACTGGCTTATGAGACAGACAGGGTAGGGACAGAGAAGACGCGAGGATGACCTTCGGTTTCTGCTGCAGCAGCCAGGGACCTAGGTTGTAGTTAAGACGCCAGGGAGGGAAATGGTCCAGATGTGCGATTAGGAAAGTTAAGAACCAGAAACATGCACTAGGACTTTTGGATGAAACTGAAGGCCCAGCTAGAAAACTCATTTCAGCGGTTTTGGCATTTTTCTCCAGCAGCCTCAAAATTGGTGGTAAAATTGATGCTACATTAACAATTTCTTAAGGCAACAAAATTACTGAAACCTGGAACTGAGAGGATTAAGAATATCTTCTACCTTGTTTAATGTCACAATATCTGACAGTAAATTTCTGGCTTAAGTGGCCTCTCAAATTCCCTGGCCACTGGCCACCTTGAAAATATCAATCAAGCCTGAGCGGTTTGGCACCACTGATGTTACAGGGCGATTACTATCCATTCATGGATCTCATATTTATTTTCTGACAAAACGATAACATCTTCTACCTACAGGCAAGGGGCAGACAATTCTGTGCTCATGCATTGTGTTTTAGGACAATTTCATTTGCACTGACACTTTACTATTATGAAACAATAGGATTTTGTTGTTACTTTTGTTGCTACTGTTTCCAAATTGCCTTCCTGAGGGTGAGATTCAGAAACATCCCCCTAGGGCTGCTTGGGTCATGCTCCTGCCTCTGCCTGAGTTCAGAAGTTCTGATCTCATCACGAAAGACAGCGTGACCTAGGAGAATGAAAAATTAAATAGGCAGGAAAAGCAGGAATATGGTAACTCAGAATATTTCCACTAATAAATCTTCTTTCAAGTGTTTCCTAAAGCAGTCAGTTTCCCAGCACAGTTTGCACAGGCTGCTCCAAAGATGTGAGTCTCACGTTCTTTTTTTACAGCGAGTCTCTAGAGCAGTTAATTGTTCATCAAGTGGTCAAGTAAGGTCCCGAAAAATTCAGAATGCTCTGATTTGGGCAGTTTCCCCATACTGTAAAGCTGCTATTCTGATCAAGGTTCAAATCCTCATACTCCAGAGCAAATAAGTACTGACTGCTGTAGTAGGAACAGAAGAATTGCCCTCTCTTAATATTTCTAAATTAGGGTGGAATGCTATGTTGGCGGCTTTCAAAAAAGGTAGTTGGCATTTGAAGGCAAAGACAAACTTCGCCATCTTCCATTGCATGTGGAAATGACAGGATGTGAAGGAGCTGGTGCAAGGAAAGGATGAAGACCACAGGTACTTCAAGGGGAATGGTTAAAAGAATTCTGCAGGATGGGCCACTGGGGTTCCTGAAAGAGATTCATGCTTTGGATGAGGGATCAGACTGGACAAACTTCCAAGTCTGGGGGATTGATGCTTCCTTACGCCAGACTCTAAAAGTCAAGGAGAGAACTGCACAATTCAGTCTTCTCTCAACAGGGAGGCACGCCTCTCTTCATGAAAAGAAGAAGAAGAAGGGGGGGGAGGAGGAGGAGGAGGAGAAGAAGGAGAAGGAGAAGAAGAAAGAAGAAAGAAGAAAGAGGAAAGAGGAAAGAAGGAAAAAAGAAGAATGAAGAAAGAAGACCACATAAAATTATGTATATGTTATTGACAGACTCCAGGAGTCAACTGCATGGGATGACCGTGGTCTCTTCTTATCTGGATAAGACATGGAGAGTTGGTCTTCCCCCCCACAAAACACACACCCATGTGCAGATGATTCATTCACTCATCTGTCCAGACACTCACATGTCCATGTGTAAATTCAGAGGGCATTTATGAAGGGCTCGCTCTGCCTCTGTGCAAAGTTCCTCCACCGTGGACTGGAGGGAGGCCATCAGGTCCATGCAAGTATGGGGTAGCTGCTTGTGCTTTAGGGTCCTATGGGCAGGCACTGCATTGTGTTTATACCCAAACTTCGGGGTCCTAGAACTTTGACCTCTTTCTGGCTATATTCCAAGACTTAAAGAAGTATTTTTAAGGTGCCCTAACTTGAGAGGAACAAGATGAATCATCCTTTGGTATGGTTCATGTACCTGTCAAGGTCCTGTACTTTGCTCTCTATCTGGTCCTTTATAGATTTAAGTCTGTGTCATCATGGCATCCACCCCTTGCTCTGTCAGATTTCAATAATACATTAGCCATAGTGGCCTCCAAGCCTCTGGGAGGCTGGCATGGGCCTTCTTCTAATTCTGGGAAACACTTTTGGGGAGGTAAGCAAAAATAGGTGAGAGAGGGGATGTTCCCAGACTTCTGTCCATTTGAGTGAACTTCAGACTTCAGAAGTTGGAGGATAATATATGGGAGAGAGAAAGTATAAATCTCACACATGAGCAGGTTTATCGTAGGTGTAACAGAGCCAACGGAATTAGAGCGCAGTGGAGGAAGAAAGTTCTGGAGCCTGGAAGGGAAACAGAGGTAAGTGAGAAGGGTCCCCAGAATGCAGCTACAGGAAGCAGCAATCAAGCTGTTTTCAGTCACTCATTGACCTGGTCAGGTATCACACTCCCCAAGTCTGCTCTCCTCTATCCTTCCCAACTTTGAAAGTCGAGGACATCTTAGTTCTCCAACTTAAAAAAAATAATTCTTGGTGGAAAAAAATAGCCTGAGGAATATTGATCGATGAACAATGAATGATGAATGGATTGTGGGCCCTGGCATCCAAGACCCTCTTCTTCTCAACGTGCCTGTTCTCTCCCGCCATGTTGGCCACTATGTCTCCTTTCTAGGAAACTGGATACCTCCAGTACCCAACCCAGAATACGGCATTTACACCAAAATTCAGCGACACAGAAGTGTACTAAAGTCTTCAAGTCATCTTGACACCCTGAGACTAGATTTTCCTTCTTCAGCGGCCACCATGAAGGATATGCCAACAGTGCTCAGGGTAATACAATGACCCTCCAACCTCATTACAACATTTAAATTAATCCTCCTGCTCCTGAGCCAGGGGAAGATATTCCTCCATTCACCCCTGTCCAGGTGTTTGAGAGAAAGCAGACATGTCTGCTGAAATGGTAGTGATCCACCCACAGAAGAGCTGCTAAAATGCATGTGGTTATGGGAGCCAGGGAGGGCTCTACACCCAGGCAACCTGCCAGGGAGCAGTTCTGTTCCTGATCCCTTTATACATACTCCTCAGACCGTCTTGGTGACCTCAGTCACCCACTGTACCAGCAGAAGATGAATCAGCAACATGAAAACACGGATCTACAGTATAAATATGAAAGATATTGGCTTAGGTAGAACAAAAAGTTCACAAAGCTCTACCCAGGAGTTCAAGATTTCAACGGGGACTATAAACTGCCCAAGTCAAGAGCAGGCTGGCTGTTAGCGCTGATGGGTATGAAACTGGTGAAAAGGAGTACAGAGAGGAAAAAAAGGAAATGATCTTGCTTCTCCTCCTCCTGTGAAAAGGCCCCACCTTAATAATTCCATAATTCCCTAATTTATTAGCTATCATCTATGGAAATTTAAAATATATCAAGCACAGTCCTATATACATTTCATCTAAAAATGAATTTAATCTTTCCAACTATCTTATGAATTAGGTTACAATGATGATCTTCATGTTACCAGTGAGAACACTGAAAATTAGAGTAATTGACCAGTGACAAAGCTTGTATGTAACCGAGCCAGGATTCCAAGCAGACAGGGTGATTCCAGAGTCCGCTTCTCACCACCAGGTGGTGATGGCCTAAAGACAACAACAGGGGAAAGAAACATGGCCTGGTGGCTGTATTCTTCCCTGGACAGCTAAGACATTCTCCTCCACTCCCACTGACTGTATCACATTGTCAGGACTGCTCATACAATAACTGCTAGACCCATACTTTTCTTAAACAAAAGCCATCTGACATCATCTCCATCCAAAATAGGTTATTATATTTACTCACAGACCCTGAGCGATGGCCACAGGTTGTATAAAATGCCTTCTCCCCATTCAACTCTCACTTAGACAGAAACTATCCAATTTGCTTCTGATTAGCTAAAGGCCTGGGAGGACATTACCTCCTTGTAAAATCAGGACACAAAGAATGACTCACTGGAGCAGAAGTGGTACAGAAAAATGAGACAAAACCACCTCACTTGATTCCACAGATGTCAAGACAAGATCCTTCCATTAGGACAAGCGACAAGCTCCCAGGGAGATAATGCAGATAACCCAGATCCTCTCTGACACCTGTTCTGACCCTTCAGCACTAAAGGTCCCACTCTTGCCACCACTCACCTTCATGAGCTCCTTACAGCCCATAATCTTGGCATCACAAAACATATTTTCCCCAAATGCTGCCAACTTCCTTCTCATTCTGGCAACACAGCTTACATGCCCAAGTGGACTGCTAACTGATTAAAAATCATAGGAAAGATTTTTTGGAAGTTTTGTTCTACCTTACCAACAATCTTTCTCCTAAATTTCAAGAGGTAAATTAAAAGGTTGAGATGGGCAAATTCAGGTATAGCTGATAAAAACACTCGCTAAGGCAGTGTGTTGAGGCCCTGGACTAAAATCGTTGGTAATGGATGGGACTGAGAACCCCGTCTCTTTGTGGGAATTTGGGATAATTGCTTACCTGCTCTGTACCCCATGTGAATGAGGCCACACTCAGAGTAAGAATGCCTGCCCCCTTTCTACCCTGTAGGGATGTTCTAAGTTTATGTGTTGTAAGTCTATATAAAGCTGGGATTTGGTTTTCAGCTACCCTTTTGATTTACCCTGTTCTTTCTGAAGCAGTGTTTCCCAAAGAGTGTTCGTTCCATGGGACATAATCTTAGAAATCTCCATAAAAAAAAAAAATTCAGGGTCAAATCCATCTGAAAAATACCAAGTATTATATATATCCCTCTGTAGAATATCAAAGAATATAAAGGTTAAAAAAGGGAGAATCATAGTGCCCATAGAAATACAACATGAACATGTGTCAAAGATTAATTATTAACTCAGTATTTAATGAGAGAACTGCTAAGATGTTACCAGTTCTAGGAAAAATTCAAAGAACCCACATATATAGGCAGTAAGGAATGCTGAATGAACAGAAAATACAGTGGATAATAGTCAATTGCACCCCTCCAACACAATTCCTAAACCTTTCATAATTTTCCACTATAAGCATATTAAAGGCTCCAAGAATTCCTGCAATTAAAAAAAAAAAACTTGCACTTAACATTATTTAATCCTGTGTTTCCCACATATCCTTGTTAACCTCTTACAAGGTTACTATTCACTGGAGCACAATTTGGGGAACAGTTTCTTCTCTCTTCATCATATGGGTTTCTCTGAGCTCTACAACAAAAACAGATGAAGAATTACATATGAATACAAAAAATCCCTTGCTTGTTTGTAGGGAGGTTCTCATCTGTACCAGCCTGCTCCAGAGATAAAATAATCAAATTTAAGAGAGGAAGGAATTCAGTTGGTGGGAGGGAAGTAATTCTTGATTGATTTGCTCAGGTATAAGCTCCATTAGCATGTGAATTCTCTGGTTTTGGAGAAGTTGTAAAAGAAAAGGGAGTTAATATGGCAAATGTTCCCTGTGGGTAGGAACAAAGTGGCATGAAGCAGCATATCAAAATGACAAAAGAGTGGGTAGGTTTGAACGCTGCAGTTTCACACTCAGCCCTCCCCTCAGAGTCTGCCCTGGGCAAGACTCTTCATCTTTCTGTGGTCACCTTCTCATCTGTATATTAAGGATACTACTCATACCTATCTAAGAGTATGGTTTGCAAATTAAATGGTAAGATACATATAAAACTTTTACTTCAATTTCTAGCAATCAGGGCTTAAGAATGTTAGTTATTAGAATCACTGACTTCCTAACACAGGATACTGGACAATTTTGAAGGACCTGACAGTAGGGGCTTGCAGATGACTCCTGAGGCACATATCTATCTTGAGATCCAAGGATTCTACAACTACTCCCTAGAGGTAACCTTCCCTTTGTTTGATGAAGATACACACAGAGGAACAATCACAGCAACAGAGTCTCTCCGAGACCTAAAGAATGAATAACATGTAGATTGTAGACGGGCTGTGGGTCTCCCTTGAAGAGAACAAAGATGACCATGGCCTCTCTTTAGGCAAGGGGCTCTCTATCTAGGTCCACAGATAGATTCCATGGTGTCCATGGATGACCTGAAATTATATGCCTGATACAGTTCGTATGTGTCTTTTATTCAAAGGGGTTCATGGCTTCCATCAGATGAAGAACTACTGCCCTCAATTCTAAGACACAACATGGGCACAGTGGAAAGAAAAGGACACAAGTCAAATGAAACAGGACCCCACTTGATCATCTATGAGACCTGGATGACCTCTGCAAAACTTTTAACATCATTAAGCTTTAGTTTCCCCATCGTTAGAACAGGGAGAATACCAATTCTGGGAAGATTAAATAAGAACATGAGCAAAAGAGCCTAATTTGATGCCTGAATCCAAAAGGTGCTTTTTAGTAAGGGTTCATTCTTTTTCTTCTATGTTTTAATATCTTCATCTTAAACTGCAATGTGAAGAGGCTGACAGGGAGCATAGATTTCATGCAATCTAACTTGCTCATCCAACAGATGAGAGTCTGAGGAAAGTGTATTGTCAAGGTCACATCTTCAGCCCCTGACGATACAGAGGGATCTTTCATGGCTAATGGGACACTGTGAAGACTATGAAACCATCTTCATTGAGAGCATGGTTTGCTGGCAGCTCTCTTTCTACAGCTCAGTAAATGCTTCTTGGGCAATTCTCCAACTCCAAGAAACACACATATGTCAGCAACATTGCCAAGGCAACCAAGAGTAGCCTAGAGTAGATGTCTAGGTTCCTAGAAACTGTCTTTATTAGCAACTCCTCCATATTACTGAAGCTTCTGAGGATGGAATTCTTCCATGTGACTCTCGTTCAAACCAGAAGACCAAATGCCACTATCAGATCTGCTAATGTAGCTCCTAAATCAGGAAAATCTGTGCCTAGGGACTGAGCGTGGAATCTGGGCTAATACCAAGAACAGCTTGCTTTTTCCCTGTTTAGGTTTTATTTTCAAGACTAAAAGTTATTTAAGTGTAGCATTTTTTGTTGGAAAGAATAGTCTGACCAGAATCCTCACACTGAATTTCCCATTGCAGTCTGCCTGGCGTCACTGAGTGACATCAAGAAGGCCACTCATCTTCTTAAGCAAACTCCCCTCCTTTTTAATTAAATGGCAACTTTTGGTAACTTGCCTCTTCCTGACTTGCAAACACATTGTGAAAGGAGAAAGGCTATTGGGTACTTAGAGAACTTCTCAAAACATGCTCTGCCTAATCTCAGATTGGAGTACCACCAAAATACCAAAGGTTTTTAAATGGTCCTCCAAAGCCATGAAGTACATATACCCCAAATGCAGGCTCACCATCACCGAGGATTTTGGATTTATCCAAAAGGATATGCAGCCAGCAGATGATTTCACTGGTGGTTCTATCTTTAATGTTTATTGCTCCAAAAGTAATGATAATCTGATTTTAAAAATCCAAATTTTATAGAAATTTCAGGTTTGAATGGAAGTTTAAAAAAAAAAAGGAGATTGCTAATAGACTGAAAACCAAATGTCCTTTCTCTGGAAATGAGTCCTGACATAGGGCTGGACATAAGTGTTTTCAGTTCAGTTTGTTCCTGTGGTTGTTTTCTAAAGATCTGTGCTCAAGAAGGAATCCTGAGTGCCTTCATAACCTTTCTTTATGGAGCACTGGAACAGAGGGACAACATAAGGTACTGGGGGCACTTGGGTGAGAAAGAGACTGCTCCTTCTGGCTGCCTGCAGGCTGCCTGTGTCAGAGCATGGCCTCATGTTCCCGGCCACTCAGAGCTGAAAATACTTCTCAATACAGAACATGCAATCACCACAAGCAAAGAAATTATAAGCAAACAAAGAAGAAAAGTAAATAGTGTAGCACTAATAATTTCTGCACGTGTTTATTTTCATTTTATGCATTTAAAAAAAGCATTGATTTTCAGTTTTCTATAGCCATTTTTAAAGTGTAACCAGCATGAAGGAAATATATTGAAGAAGAGAAAGTTAATGCACAGTTTTATAGAAAGCCCGCTCTTCAGACTTAATTTGGGGTTTCCTGAGCCAGAATTACCCTGTTCCTATGGTTAACGTGGATATTTTATGACATGGAATGTAAACTTTGTATAAGTTTTTTTTTTTTTTTAGAGAGCGAGCGAGAGAGAAACAGCATGAGAGGGGAGAGGGTCAGAGGGAGAAGCTGAGCCGGGAGCCCGATGTGGGACTCGATCCCAGGACCCCGGGATCATGACCTGAGCCGAAGGCAGACGCCCAACCATCCGAGCCACCCAGGTGCCCCAACTTTGTATAAGTTTTTAAAATCAAATCAAGACTGTGCTAATCGTATGCTGCTTTGGGTTATATCCCCAGACTCTTACCTGCCACTTAGGCATATTTTAGGGGGATGTTCTTAGAAACAGTCTGGTGAGTGAGGATTATTATATGACAGAATGGGTGAGAAGAACACAACTGTCTTCTGGGGACCCTGATATTCATACAATACTTGCATAGGTGAAAAATACTTCTGGAATAGCCTTTCACTAGCTGTTCACACCATCTGTAAATATAGCACCCACCCCACCCCCATCCACAGTTTGATTTTCTGCAGTTTCAGTTACCTGAGGTCAACCACAGTCTAGAAGATGATCTTCCTCTGACATACTGTCAGGCCGATCGTAGCCTAATGCTATGTCACAATGCCTATGTCATTCCCCTCCCCTCATCTCATCCCATAGGCATTCTATCAACCACATCATCACAAGAAGAAGGGTGAGTACAGCACAACACTTTGTACGAGAAAGACCATATTCATATAACTTTTCTTATAGTATGTTATGATAATTGTTCTATTTTATTACGTTATTGCGGTTAATCTCTTACTGTGACTAATTTATAAATTAAACTTTATTAAAGGTATGTATGCATAAGGAAGAACATAGCATATGGAGTATATATATACTGTCTTCCACCCACTTGTGCGTAGCCTCAATCCTCTCTCCATGGCGTCTCCAACAATTACGTCTCCTCTCTCTGAGTTTTCATAGTGGCTCCCTCCTCTTCCACTTCAGGCCAGGAAGTAAGAGGTCACCAGCACCCCCACTGTCGCTGGCCCCAGGGGCCTTCCATCCCCACATCCCTTGCCCGTTCCCCTTAACCCTCCCCACAGGGCATCTTGGAATAGACTTTGGGTCTCAAAATGTCTAGCTCAAAATCTCCCAGTATCCTGAAACCTCATAACCAGGAGAAATAATGAATTCAACAATCCAACACTCTT